ACAGATTATATTGATATAATAGATGAAGTAGAGAATATAGAACAAGTGATAATAACTGACAATAAAATTAAAAAATGCTGTTTTTATTCATTAGAATTAATAAAATTAGGAATACAATATATCAAAAATAAAAATGTAAATATTAATATAAATGGGAAAAAAGAAAAAGAGTAAATCAAATTCAATATTAGATAATGAAAGACCAATGCCAGATATTGAAACTCGGAAAGAAACAACAGTAAGTGTTAAATCACTAGGTGTAAGCAGAGAAGTAAAATGTGATAAATGTAATCATATTATGAACTTTCAAAATGAATTAATAGTAGATAAAAAAGGCGGTGTTAATATTAAATGTATTCCGTGTATGTTATCAGTCAAGAAGAAAGACCAAGAAATGAGTGTAGTGAAGAAGAAGGACGGAGATATGACAATAGAAACAAATGACCATTTAGTCAATGTTAGTTTTAATAGGGTAATAACATAGTATTTAAAGAGTAGATTTTACATTAAATCAATTTTATAAATAAATAAATATTTAAATAAATAATTATATAAATAAATATATATAGAAATGTCTGAAGTTGAAAATGATACTATTGCTGAACTATCAAAGAAGATGATGACAGTTAGTAAAAATGTTAAACTGTTGTACGAGATGATAAAAACTATTGACCAGAAACTTGATGCAAAGGCAAACGAACCAAAAGATAACAATGAAGAGAAGGAAAAGATTGACAAAATCTTTGAAAAGAAAGGGATAGGCAGACCCAGCGGTGATTATGACACGAAGCGTAAAAAATATTGCGATATGTTAAATAAGGGACAAATCAAAAGTCCAAAAGAACAAACATTAGAATACTATAAGATTATTAAGGAAGATGATAAATATGTATATTTCTAAAACATTATCTAAATCATTCTAATAAACATGAATTTATTAGAATTATTTAGTGGAACTGGAAGTGTAGGAACCATAGCAAAGTCACTCGGTTATAATGTCATCTCATTAGACTTGAAAAATGCTGATATCAATTGTGATATACTTGAATGGGACTATAAACAGTTTGATAAATCACACTTCTCATTTATCTGGGCATCACCCCCGTGCACCGAATACAGCAAAGCAAAAACGACAGGAATTAGGAATATTGAATATGCTAATAGTATAGTTTTAAAAACTATTGAGATTATCAAATATTTTAATCCTAAATATTTTGTAATCGAAAATCCTCAAACTGGATTATTAAAAAATCAGGAGTTTATGAATGAGTTTGATTTTAAAGATGTTGATTATTGCAAATATGGATTTAATTACAGAAAACGCACTAGACTTTGGAATAACATTACGAATTGGAACCCTAGAGATTTATGTAATAGAGATTGTGGAAAAATACGGAATCATAAACATATTGAAACTGCGCAACAACTGCCAGAAGCAGAATGGGGGGATAATTATGTAATACATAAGCAGGAAGATTTATACAAAATACCGGCTGAATTGATTTGTGAGATTTTGGTGAGTTTGGTGGATTAAGGAATTTGAGTTGGGGTTGGGAACATTCTCCAAGGTTAAGGGGAACGAGTTCTGGATTGATTGGAGCATTGAGTTCTGGATTGATGGGGAATGAGTTCTGGATTGATGGGGAATGAGTTCTGGATTGATGGGAGCATTGAGCTCTGGAGATGGGAGCATTGAGCTCTGGATTGATGGGAGCATTGAGCTTGCTTGATGGGAGCATTGAGCTCTGGATTGATGGGAGCATTGAGCTTGCTTGATGGGAGCATTGAGCTCTGGATTGATGGGAGCATTGAGCTTGCTTGATGGGAGCATTGAGCTCTGGATTGATGGGAGCATTGAGCTTGCTTGATGGGAGCATTGAGCTCTGGATTGATGGGAGCATTGAGCTTGCTTGATGGGAGCATTGAGCTCTGGATTGATGGGGAATGAGTTCTGGATTGATGGGACATTGCCTGACTATTACTTTAACCCATAAACCTTACAATAAAGTTAAATTGTAAGATTTATGACTTGAATTTCTGGGATTTATATTTTGGGAATTTGGGATTTTGGGATTTGGGAATTTGGGATTTAGGGATTTAGGTGATAAAATTAGTTGAGGTGGCGTGCCCCTGTTGGTTAATATGGTTGAAGTGGTTGACTGAGGGGATTTTATCTGAACTGGGGCATGCCCTTTGGTAGGTAAGACACCCCTTGGGCAGGAAGAGTCGCTTTGTCGTCAAGTCACCCTTTCACTCCTTACGCACGCAGGTGTAGTTAGAGGTACACAAAGGGTGCCGCCTCGCCAAGAACAGTTTTCGTCAAGGCAGAAAAAAGACACCTTGGAAGGTCAACGTAGGTGTGCAACTTAGTCGTTTGTATATTTAATGTAGTGGCTACCCTAATCTTGCGTAGCTGTGCTTACCCAGGCTCATCTGAGCTGGGAATTGGTCGAGTGGTAAGTGGTCGTCAGTGGTCAGTAGATTCCAGGAACCAAGCAGATCGATCACCTTTTGCAGACTTGAACAATTGCTTCCGAAACAATCCAACCCTCCAACTGTTTAGGGTGATAGATTCTCTTGAAAACTGTCAAGGGAAAGTTAAGCAAAGGGAAGCAAGCCAAGGTTCGTCCCAAAAACCAGCCCTGAAAGAAGCAGCAACACGGGCGACGTCACGTCGTGTGGATTTCAACCTCGGCCTGGCCTCAACCGACCAGCCCCCGCCCCCAATACCTGTTGTCTGCAAAAGTGCAAAAAGTCTTCATCCACAAAGGCTTCGGACTGTGCACTCCATCACAGGGTTCCCCCCCCCGTTTCCTCCTCGCCATATTTGGAGAAAACCAAAGGGGGCACAGTGGTTTTTCCCAGCCGGGGAGGGTAGGGCGAACGCCCTCAATACTGCAAGTAAGCCAAGCAAACCATGGTTGACTTTGCCGGGTTCCCCTTGCTCCCTTGCAATACAAGGCATCCATGATAGGACCATGTTTGTGCCTCTTTGTGCGTTTGATTTGACTGGATTCTTTTGTGGGTGGGTTGGTTTCAAAACGTCCCATTTGGGTGGCACCCCTATGAGAAGAAGACCCATCTCCAACAGTTTGCCCCGCGGATCTTTTTCGCCGCCCAGCATCCCCGGGCTTGATCTTCATTTTCTCCAGGTGGTTCCATTTCACCGACTCCTCTCCTCGGTCCAAACCGGACATCCCCGGAACTGGTTCAAACCTTACTTGAGCTCCAGCTACCAAAGGCCAACAAGTACGGCAGCCGTCTTCATACTAGATGAAAAACTACCTAAATTCGAGGCGGAAACTCAAAACAACACCGAAGCTGCCGTTCACACCTGGTGGTGTATACACACATCGATGAATCAATCCTCGTGGACTAGGAGGGTTCCCTGAAAAGTGCTCCAGATCCCACAAAATCGGGGGGCACCCCCCAATCAAGCTCAATCCGGGTTGAAACCATGTGTGCTTGTCTCTCTTTTGTCGGGGCCCCCAAAATGGCGGCTAACCTTGTCAGCTCCCCTCTAATTAAAACCAAAAGGGGGCCCAGAAAGCGACACACCCCTATCAACCCACCCCGAATGCCAAGGCTCTGTGGTTCGAGACCGTGGGGGTGCGGAACTCGCCTTTGCCCTGGCAATAGAGGCAGGGCTGCCAGGAAAATGGAGGCTCGATGCGGATGCCCTTAATTGCAAGGGGACAAGTACAAAGTTCAACCATGGTGTGTGGCTAGTTTACTTGCAATGACTACGTAGGCACCCAGCGAGGGGAACTTACGAATAAATCGAGAGCTGTCGAGGTTGCGCGCAAATCCAGCCACGGTTGGCTGCCAGGTCTTAAACCCTGCGGAACAAATCACAGCGGTTTACCCGCCAAGGTGTTGCTCGCCCAAAAACTTTGCCCTCATCCTCTACCGACACGAAGGGAGCTTAAAGGCTTTTCCAGGGATGGGGGTATAGGTGTTACATACCACTTACATCAAGTCCTATACTAAGCTTACAATGGTAATACATAAAATAAAATAAAAAATGGTCTTGACCCTTTCCGGAAAATGTCCCTCCCAAAGGGCACACCTTTTTGCCGCGAGCGTTTTGCCAATGGCGCGTGCACCCACTGACGTACCTCAGGCGTCCCCTTGGCCCCCAGTTCCCAAAGAAACACATCAATAGATGGTAGCAAAAAGCTTTGCTTTTGTTGAAGACACCCCCCCAATACAAATGAATAGAACTAAAAAACAAAAACAAGAACACATGCAGTTCGAACCGCGAAGAAAAGAAAGTCCTGGCGAGGCGCCAAACCACCAAGCCTGGTGTCCAGATCTACCAAGAGTCTTGCGCCTACCCAAAAGTATCCCAAATGTAAAGGCGGATATGTGAACCTATGCTTGGCCCTTGCTCTCAGGCTTCTTTTCAAATATATATATATATATATATATCCATATATATATATATAAATGTATATATATATATAGATTACATAGTTTGTTGGGGTGCATATTATAGGTGGACCCTGCCCCCCAAACAATATCAAGCACCACACTTTGGAAGACCAACTTAGTTGTAACGATCCCACCCACTTCGACCCCAGGGGAACCAAAAGGGAACCATGGAAGCCCTCCCCACCCCACCCACCCCCAAAACAAAAGTAAAAGAAGAAGGCAATCCACTGGAACCTCCCCCACCCCCCACCCCAAACAGAAACTGGAACCTCCCCCCAAAAAAACAAAAACAAAAAATGCTCGGCAAAGGCAACCCACTGGAGGCCCGGACTTCTGCCTGAAACATGGCCGTGACGTGGGCTGAATAATCAGAATGGGCTGGGGCACTTTAAGGCCGAATTGCCCGAGGATGGCGGTAGACTGTAACTATTCCCCCTTTTTTAACGTGCAATGCTGACACATGCCAACATTATGCTTCTCATGCAGAAGTTCCCGCTGCGGAGCCTGCTGCCGCGACCATTGTGCAACTGCAGCCGGCCGCCTGCCCCCAGGCTGTGGCCAAGTTGCACTGAGCCTAGGCCTGGAGGTTGAAGTTGGAAGAGACTTTCCTTGCGAGCGCTCTTGGGCAGGTGCTGAAATGCCCTCGTGGCCCCTTGTGCAGGATTGGCCAGCGTACCGAACATCGGTAATAAGCAAGAAGCCTGCTTCCCCAAGCCCGTTCTGCCCCCCCCCCCCCCGCCCCCCAACTAAATAGCTCAACTTGTCCCTTCAAAAAAGTTGGTCTACAGGGGACAAGGCGAACAAGTGGGAAACTCACTGAACAAGAGGCTGTGCCGACATAGAGGGTCCAATTATTTAATGGCCGCTGTGGGCATGTTTAGCCAACTATGTAGGGTACCAAGCCTCCAAAGCAGATTAACACCCCAAGTCCAAGCCGAAGCCTTTCACAAAGCGTCGCATAGAGGTGCTCCCCGTACACCACCGGCCCGCCAGCCAGGCCCCGTGCCAGCGGCCCAGTGCTGGCTGCGGGCTTGAAACTCCTTCCGCTTTGAGGGCTCGCGAGGCCCAGATCCAGCGGCCGGATGACCTCGGAACCAATGGCTTTGCGTCAGGCGGCCCGAGTGGATACACCTCTCGGAGGTGTTTCAGAGGGAAACCGAAGGAAAAACGATGCAATTGTTGGGGGGTCCCCCCTATTTTGAGGCACACTCCAAGTAGAAACTGCCTGACTGACCAAATCTTTGGCGCAATGCGGGTTCCTTTTCACTGTGAAAATGCGTCCGGAAGGCGGTCCCCCATCTTGGCAAGCACTAAAATGCGAATGTCTCACCTTTTGGAAGGATTGATTTCTACTGGCGCGAAAGCTGTACAGGTTTAATATAGGCTTCACAGTATCTCCAACTAAAGCAAGCAGTAGAACCCCCTGCATTGACCAATCGGGTTTTGAGTGCTGCTCATGTTTTCTTCACCATTGGATCCCTCATTTTGTTGCTGTCAGTCTTGGGACCGTTTCCCCCCAACGCCTTCGACCGTTTTTGCCCAAAGAAGAGCTCGCCCTCCGGGCCATGAGGTTGAGGATGCTACCTGGGTTGCCTGGCTCAGAATAAAACACCAAAATCAACGCTGCGCAAGCCCCCTGTTGAAGCTGTCCACAAGCACAAAGAGGTAAGGCGAGCGACACTGGCAAACGACCTTTTCGTGTGGGTTTTGATTTGCCACGGCCAAGGCCCTCCAATGGCCTCCGAAAGGCCGACAAAAGCCCAAGCCCGAAAGGCACCCGAAACCCCACAAGCACTCAGAAAAGAAAACCGGCCCGAGCCGCCCGTGAGGCCTCAATCTCGGGTTTTAAGGCCCCCGGCGGCATCAAGGTTAGGCTCATAGAAGAAAGCCACAGAGGTCCGGAACTGCCCAGCAGTTTGCCGCACGCGGTGCCGGGTCGCAACATAGCGGCCCTGCGTCCAAACGCCTCGTTTTCATCAGCGTCGGTTTGCTCGGCGGCTAGTGGACCACAAATTGGGCACAAGTTGCTTAAACAATCAACCTGGTCCCCTTGAAAGAGCAGAGGTGGTTTAAACAATTGTGGTTGAAACATTTTGACCCAACCCTCCTTTGTTCAAAGACGTGCACGGCCCGCAGCAACAAGTTTCATCACTTTCGCCTAGTTATTGAAATCCTTAATTACTTGGTTTGATCAAGCGCGGCCCGCTGGGTGTTTCGAGAAACTCAAGGAGTTGCCCAGTTGCTTTAACAGCGTGTTTTTCTGAACCAGGTGATTCTACGTCTTGGCTGTCGTTCGCAGCCCCGAAACTTCCGAACCGCCACCGCTCCGCTGGGCCCCACGAGTTGAATCGGCCGGGACCCCGGCTGAGCATGTCCCCCAAGTTGATCACGAAGGCATCCTCCCTCGGCTGGACCTTCTGCCAGGACCCGTCCGGGAAACGGACCTCCAAGGCGTCGCGCGTCTCATCCTAGCGAGCGGGCGGAAACGTGAGTGTCTTGCTCAAAATGGCGGACTCGCTTTGGTTGCGTAAGGGACGCCACAAGGAAACCTCACACATGCCTAGGGTGATGCCACGTGCGCCTCCCTGCGCCCAAGGTCCACGGTGGCCTTCGCATAAAATTACCCAGATCTGGGATATCAAGAACATAATATGCTTACTAGTCTGCAGAACAGTTTTGGAAGAGACGCCAAACATGTTGGTTGTGAAGGGAACTCCCGAAGGAAAGAACAAAAAAAAAGCAGAACCCTTGAGTGGACCCAGTTCCTGTTCGTCAAGTCGGAAGCAGTTGGAAGCCCCTCGGTCAGCGACGTTTACGTTGGGGCGGCCTGAGGATTCCTTCGTCCGCCGGTTTTCGGCTTGCCTCGAAAACGAGCAAAGAGCAAGCTGGACTCCTGTCTGCTCAAGCGGAATCCATGTTCAGCATTTGAGCTTGCTCCGAAACCACCCCGCGCCTGTGACAGAATGGTCCAGCAGCCATAGTCGGAGTGCTCACCACAAGAGAGGCCCACGTCGGCTGCCCTGCGCCAGCGTTTTCGGACATCCCTCAACCGAGGTCGTGATGTCTTGATGTCTTGACCCCTTTCTTGCAAATCGCTGAGGTTTGATGGGCAATAAAACTTAGAGTTCCCACCAAATGGCATAGATGAGCAACAAGGCTGCTCTATGGGTAGAGAAAAGAGCGAGTCGGGGTTCGGAACACCAGAGTTTCTCATCCCCCCATCCCATCTCCAGGCAAGGCACCTTCATGCGTGCAATGGCTCTTTTCTTTTTTACCCCGGTTTGGTTCCAACTTGTGCAATCTATCCATCCAACCCGGGCAAAATACAAAAAGACCATGTAACGACCCATCATCATGGCCGCTCGCTCGTTTTTCCCCCCGTTGAGCTCACGCGAAAAGCTTGCCCAGATCAGATCGTCGTTCCAAAAGGCCAATCGAAAAGAATTAGGCAAACAAATCAGTCCCTTCGGTCGTTTGGATTATATATAGTGCTCTACAAGAACCACACGTTCCAGGCCTCCAAAACCACCAATCCAAACCACGAATTTGGGGCTACTTGAATCAATCGATCCCAACCCCCCCCCCAACATCAAAAACACTGCAACCCACAAAAAAAACACACTCAACCAACCACCAAAAAAAAAAACACGAAACCAAAACTACGTCCGCCTAGGCAGCGGGGGGTACCCGATCACCCGGGCCACCCAGAAGCTGCGGTCCGTGAAGCTCTCAAAATGCTGCGGCGCCAAGCCCAGGCCCAGCGCCATGGCCTGCGATCCGACTCGCATCTGCGATCCGTCTCAGCTGTCAGTCAGCCAGCGGTTTCCTCTGCAGTGAGCCGCAGGGAAACTGTGCAGAGCTCCACTGGCTTCGATGGTTTCGCTGCGAGCTTCATCAGGAAGGAGAAGGCTGGAAAAGGTAACGCTCCGAGCTCAGCTGTGAGCCAATTTTGTTTTTGTGGGTGCCTGTTGGGTTTTCCAAAGGAAAGCATGATGA